CGAAAGGGGTTTTTTAGGTTAGGGTTTTCAAAGGGTTCTAGTTAGGTTGAGAGAGAAATAGAGAAATAAAGAAATAGAGAAAGAAAGAAGATCAAATACACACAGAGAGAGAAAATTGAACTTGTTATTGTTAGTGAGGATGACTGGCAGCGACAGTGAGAGAAAGACGCATGGTGGGGGGTTTGTGAGATGATGATGGCTATCAGCATTATGAGAGAGAGAGAGAGAAAAAAAAATATTGTATTTGGGGTGGGACTATAAAAAAGGCTAGATAAAGTGAGAGACTGAAAGATACATTTTTTAAGTTAAGTCTTTAGAGTCCTGCAATGATAGAATTGTTGAAAGGAGGAGGAGTTTTGATCGTTGGATCAATAATTGTCAAGTGATCTAAGCCACTTTAAGTTAAGTCTTTAGAGTCCTACAATGATAGAATTATTGAAAGGAGGAGGAGTTTTGATCGTTGGATCAATAATTGTCAAGTGATCTGAGCCGCAAAAATTCAAGACAAACTTTTCTAGCTACTTTATTATATAGATATGTGTGTGTGTGCGTGTGTGTGTGTGTATGTGGAGATATACAAGATAAGTGAAAATGGATGTGTGTAGGAGACTAGGAAGTGATATGGAATAAAATAGTGCATGAGTGGACACATGTTCATTGATTGTAGGTGTGCTTTGTGATTGCCATGAAAAAATCTACTCAATGTTTAATAAAGTATTACATGGCTGGTGTTACAAGGTTGTGCTACAACGTGTACATTTCTAGTTTAAAATGTAAAGAATATTGGCAAAGCAAGAGAGAGGAGGTGGTGGTATTAGATAGAAAGGAAAACAAAAGGTGGGTAGGTGGTTCAAAGTGGTGTGTGCTAGAATTTTCTATCAATGTAAAGCATGATAGAGGAAGCTGGTGGATGGACGGGTGGCAGTCCAAAGGGAGGTATCATACACATAAGAATTCTATGTGTCTAGGGGGAGCAAGCAAACATAAACATAAGGAAAGAAACAGAAGTTCTAAAAATCGAGAGTCAAAGAAAGAAAAAGGGAGAGTAAGGGTTTCACTTCGAGGGGGATTCAAGATTTAGTTCCACTAACTTATTAAGAAGTGTTTGAAAAGGATTAATTGTAGTAATTTGGTGTCAATTTCATAGCTGCTTATCCTTTTGATTGTCGTTTGATGATTACGGAGGTGGTTGCAATTTGGAAAGCAATTTACGATAAGCTTTAGTTTAAGTTTTACAAATTTTCTTAGTTATGAAATCTGAAATCTAGTGAACCAAGAACGTATGGTCATAAAGAATGTTGGTGTGTGCAATGGTTTCCACACAATAGATAAATTGACAGATCTCTCCCTTGGTGAACTTGAGTTCGCCTAGAAAGTCGAAGGTCCCGTAGTAAATGGATATTGAGAAAATTGTATGAGTGGTGATGAATTTCTTTTTTGGCTGTCTCGTCGCTCTTGACTTATCGAGATGAGCCCTTATCATTCAAAAAGAAATGTTAGAATGACGCCGAAGTGTTTTTCGACGTGACCTCTCCGATGATCAAGTCAGTACATCAGAGAGGGGTGGGAAATCACTGTTCTATTTATACCTCCATGGAACTAATCATTGCGGACAAGTGGGTCCCATGGAAGGAACACTCCTTATTGGCCCATATGGAAAGTGACTTGTGGCGCATAGTCCTACGGCAAAGTATTTTCCTCATCACATGGAAAGAAGTTTCTATATTTAATGCTCACTTTTCGAGGTTCGGTGAGTAATAAATGTGTCCTATCCTTCTGAAGGGTCATTTAATGTTTCCTCATAGTGGCTACACATGCGCAAGGGCACTTTTGTCCATTACCTCCCAATTCTATGCTTTACGCCTCATACATCACTATTATTGGTCACTAAATTGCCCTTTCTATCATTTTGATTGCCTTGGGAAAGGGAATCAATGACTATTGACCATTTCTACTTCCAAGTCACAATAACCGTCAAAATTGTTATTCATACCTCATTGGTGTGGAGGACTTCGCACCAAGGTGACATGTCTGGTAGAGGCCCCTCGAGGCATCACATATGCCAAGGACACATGTTGACCAGTTGGGGCTCCGAAGGTTCCTGACACCGACGACACATGTCAGACGTAGAGAGCTCTGAGGGAGACATATGTCGAGGACACGTGTTATTGCAAGGGGTGTCTAGGTTGTTGTGCCTAGGACACATGTCACTCACAAGGGGACCCGAGGGGACTAATGCTGAGGACGCATGTCAGTCTATGGTGCACCCACGTCAATTAAGCCGAGGACACGTGTCGACTCCCTATTAATTCTCATAAATGTCCCACCAACTGCCCCCAGCCCTTGATCTTTGTATGGCAAGGGTGACGTGGAGTGAGAAGATGAAAGGGCTTGATCCTTGCTTCCATGTCCAGCCATTTTCCCTTCCTTGGGATTCATGCATCATTTAATGTACCCCCTCCTCATCCATCGTGTGTAATCATAGCCTTTGGCCCTATTTAAACAGAGCCATTTCCCCTCTTCCGCATTTTTAAAATCTTCATCAAACCAAAGATCTTCATCGGAGTTGCATCGAAGAATCCATAGTTCGTCTGAAAGCCATAAATTCCTCAAAATCCACTGGAGAAAGAAGCCAGCAACCTCTGCTCTATATCAGAATCGTGCTCATTGGTGAGTAAATGTTCTCTTTCTTTCTTTTCTTTCTTTGTGACCATTTTTCCTTTGTTCCTTCTCCTTTCTGTCCTAGCAGTGTCATTTCTGCACCTCTAGCCTTATTCTTCTTTTTTTCCCTCAATAGTGACCCTGAGGCCCCTCATTTTTAGGAACCCCTCTGTTTTGAGTTCCTTCCTTGGTTGCACCATGCTGAGACGTCGTCAGAATACAAACGTTGGGGCCGACGAGGCTAGTTCCTCGAAGCCGAGGAAATATACGATTAAGGGTCGTCAACAAATAACCAACTTTAAGACTCACTACTCCATCCCTATCGGGGTCACTGTTAATGAGTTCGTTTCTAGACTCCACAGCACCGACGTCAGCATTGAAGCAGCCATGCCCTTTTATACTAAAGCCATTATGCAGGGTGGTGTCAGATTTCCCCTCCACCCTATTCTCTTTCGTTGCTTGTCCCAATTTCGTCTTTTCCCAAGGCAATGTTCCCTGAATACCTTTAGGATTATCATGGGAGTGGTGGCCCTAAACGAGCGTCTTCAAGTCAATCTTGGCTTGGAAGACGTCATTTTCTGCTACACCTTGGTGAGGGTGATGCCTCAACAGAAGTTATACCTCAAGGCACGAGACCCTTCCATGTACCTCGTAACACTGCTTCCAGACTTAGACAAGGGGTACAAGGACGACTTGCTCATCTTTAGCGATCAATGGGAGAAAGGACTCAGCCCCGAGTATGCCAATTTGTAGTACCCCATGCAATGGCGAACTGTGAGTACGTCAGGTTCTCTCTCTCTCTTCTCTACTTACATCACCTCGGCAGATGTTTCTAACCATCCTTTTTTACCCTTTGCAGGAGTCACCGGCGCCGAGTTTGCTCTACCTCCTTGGCACCTTATCAACCTTGCCATCCTTATCACCATCTAGGGATATCTGGGTAATAGATTCGGTTAAGCAGCGCACGTGTTGCTAGATTACACTCTGGGGTACAAAAATTTCTCTCAGACACCTCAACCATTTGATCCAGCTAAGTGGTCGGCGTTATCCATTGATAACTTAGAAGAGGACCCCAACAAAGCCACAGAAGTCGAGGTAGAGGCTGCTCAAGACATCGTCGTCGACACTGAGGAAGTGAGGGATCCATCCACCACCATACATGCCGTGGAAAGCACTTCAAGCAGGGACGTTTAGATAGACTTCAATATCCTTCAAAACCTTAACGAATAAGACGCCTTGGAAGTAACCATGTCCCATCCACCTCATCTTTCCCTCATCCTGATCAAAGATAGTCGCCCTTACTGCTAGATGGGGACGCGGCTCGGGCTCTAGGACCACTCCTCCTAACTAGGAATAAACTCATCTTTCTGGGATATTGATCCCAAGGGCGCCGCCTCCAACGCCCCCAGCTATCGACATCCGAGTTGCCCTAACTCCACCAAGACGGAACCAAGTCCACGATAGGGATCCTCTAATTGGAGAGAATAATAAAGTAAAGGCATGATGGTGCTGGCCATGGTAAGGGCACTCCTACGCCGACTCCAACCCCTTCAACGCCAACAAACACTCCAACCTCACCACGGTCCACACCAACTGCCCCAAAGTGGCATGGTGCTGCCCAAGATTGCGATAATCATCTCATCCGGGTGATTAACTCCATCGTTGCCTCTCCTCACACTGCCTACACTGTGAGTGAAGCAATCCACTTTGACGCTGACATGATGGTCCACCGGGGGTGTGGGAGCAACCACTTGCTCCGTTCCATTATCCAGAGCTCGTTAGTGGTAAGGCTCCCACACTTGCAAATTTTCTCATTCTTTTTTGCTTTAGTATCTCTCTCAGCATGACTTTTTTTATTTTGCCTTCCAGATGGCTCAACAGGTGTCTGTCCTTGCCAAGCGCTTCCTTGCCCATCGAGACAAGGTCTAGGAGTGTGAGAAAGTCCAAGCTGACCTTGAGAAGGCCCTTTCCATGGCTAAGGATGAGGTGGCTACTTGGGACAAGACCCTGTCCACTCAGGGGGACCAAATTGCCAAGCTCTTCAAAGAGAGCCAAACTACCAAGGGGGATCATGACAAGGTCAAGGCTTCACTCGCCGACGCCGAGAAAAAGATCACCAAAGCGGCGAAGCAAGTATCTCTGGCTGAGGTGAGGGTATTTGAGTCAGAGTAAACTTGTGCTTCCCTCACCCAAGAGTTAGACAATTTAAGGGCCGAGCTGGAGGCCAACAAGAAGTCAGAAAAGGAGCATGAGTACATTCCTTCTGAGGAGATAGCGCAAGCCACCGCCGAGGTTGCAAAACACTTCAAGTTCCAAATCAGATTCTGCCAACTGAGAACATGGATCCAACTCTTGCCCCTTGGAGTGACACAGCCCTATTGGTGGAGGCTGCCACTGCTCCAGCTCCTGCGCCTATCGATGTTGAGCCTGCCCCTCAGGGCTATACTTCTACTGTCCATACCGATGCAGCACTTCCTTCTCGTAGTGCCGATTCTTTCTCTACTAGTATTGATGAGCTTTTTGGCGACATCGAACATCAGTGGGAGGTTACCAGGCCCCCATAGAGCAACTCCCCCCCCCCCTTTTCTTGTAACTTAGTTTTTCTTTCACCTTTGTAGCTTGAGGGATGCAAAGCCCACCTCTTTTGTAATACAAGAGTGCCTTTCTTTCTCCAAGCGTTTACATCTTCTCTTATTCTTTGTCTTTTTTTTTTTGAAGTGTAATTCCTCAGGACTGAGGTTCCAAGCCTCGAGGCCAAGATGTTCCTTCTCCTCGGGGGTAATGGTCTCCCTCAACCTCAACTTCTTTTATGGAGAAATTTCTAAGTGTTCTCCCTTAGGGGCTATGCCCCATCCAGGAGACTTCGCTCCTTGGGTCTTTTTGGAGTAAGTCTTTTTCTAACGCCTCACCCTTGGGACTATACCCCATCCAGGAGACCTGGCTCCCTGGGTCTTTTTGGGATGAGTCTTTTTCTAAAGCCTCGCCTCACCCTCGGGACCGTGCCCCATCCAAGAGGTTTCGTTCCTTTTGTCTCTTTGGGGGCAAAAATTTTTATACTTTGCCTCCAAGGCCATGTCTCCTAGGAGGCTCTACTCCTTTGTTTCTTTGGAGGCAAGAGTCTTAAGACTCTGCCTTCGGGGCCATACCCCCTCTAGGAGGCTCTGCTCCTTTATTTCTTTAGGGGCAAGAGTCTTAAGACTCTGCCTCCAGGGCTGTGCGCCCTCCAAGAGGCTTTGCTCCTTTATTTCTTTAGCTGCAAGAGTCTTAAGACTATGCCTTTGAGGCCATGCCCCTTCCAAGACAACACACTTAACAAAAATAAGCCTTTGTTTCTCAAAAATAGTTCTTTTTTAAATTCATTACATTACAAGGCCGAAGTATAGCATTTCCTTCCATATCCTTTAATTTGTACAATTCAAAGCCTCCCACTGACATAACTTTGTATGGTCCTTCCCAATTAGGTCCCATTTTTTCATCGACGGGTCACTAGTGTTTTTGGCTACTCTTTTGAGCACCAGTTCACCTACTTGAAATCTTCGGGGTTTTACTCTTTTACTGTAGCGTTTGGAGACCCCTTTTTGGTACTTAGCCAGCCTTAAAGAAGCCATTTCCCTTCTTTCCTCTGTGAGGTCCAAGTCCACGCTGAGTTGCTGATTGTTCTCTCTAGTGTCAAAAGCTTGTGTTCTTATAGTAAGGAAGCCTACCTTCAACAGGATAATTGCCTATATTTCATATGCGAGGGTATTAGATGTTTCGCCCGTTGAGGTATGCAAAGTTGTCCTGTAAGCCCATAGGATATTTAGGAGCTCATCCACCCATTTTCTCTTAGCTTTCTCCAACCTCTTCTTGATTCCAATGAAAATAGTTTTGTTTAAAGATTCTGCTTGTCTGTTGGCTTGTAGGTACGAAGGCGTAGAGTAGTAATTTTGGATTCCGAGATGCTCACAAAAAGATTTGAAGGGTTCGCTGTTAAATTGAGTCCCATTGTTCGATACAAGTGAACGGGGGATCCCGAATCTTATGACTATATTTGTGAGACCCGATCAGGTATTGCATGCATATTAGCATAAATTTGTGGGCTAAATTACAATTATGTATAATTATTAAAGGGTTAATTAAATTAATCTTTCATAGGCATGATGTATGTGAGTATGCATTGGGTATGTGAACCCCGTTAGTGATATATTAGTGAGAACTATTTATAGAATTTCATATGTGAAAATACTAGTGGGTTGATTTCAAAATCACTTAAAAACTTGGGGGGGAGGCCAACATAATTTAAAAAAGAAAGAAAGAAAGAAAGAAAAGGCGAGTCATCTTATGGTTAGGTGGGTGTGTGTATGCATGTTGTGTGTGTGTGTGTGTATGCAAGCCATGTGTGGGTGTGAGGGTGTAAAGTAAGTATAAAGGGGGGGTGTGTGTGTGTGTGTGTTTAATATATAATTTAGTGTGTGTGTGTCTGGTTGACTACTAAAGTTGAGAGTGAGGAGAGCAAGAGAGAAAAAGGAACAAAAAAAAAAAAAAAAAGAGAAGAAGACACCAAGAAAAAAATACGTGTGTGTGTCCATTTGAACTGTGAGCAAGGAAGCTATGTGGGACACAATTTAAGCATGTGTTGCGATTAATTTTAGTATATATGTGGACTTGTTTAACATGTTTTAAATTAATGGCTATTTTAATTTAATTCATGGACTGTTTTGGTTAATTTTAATGGATTGTTTTAGTTGAATTTGGTGGGTTGTTTTGTGTTAAAATAATGGGCTATTTTATTTTAAGTTCAAAATACATTTTATTAAGGGTGTTCAACAAAATTTAGGGGCTGTTAAGAATGGGTATTAAATGGGTACTCAACAGAGTGTACGAAAAGTGTGAAAATGACCATTTGAGATATTCGGGAAGCATTTAGTGGGTTAGGTTGAAAACAAAAATAATGGGAATGAAATGGGTGGTTTAAAGGCTCAATTATGGGCTATTTTTCATTGATTAAATGTGTATGTGAATTTAAGTGTAGCGGTTTTAAAAGAAAAGAGCGATAGAGGTTGGGAAAGGGTGTCGGTAACGCCGAAACCCTAATTTCTAAATGTTATTATCACATGTGCAAATTTAATTCAATTGACCTGAAATTTTTCATGCAGTATTTTTAAATAATTCTTGATGTAATAATGTGAATTTTGAATGCAAATGAATATGATATTCGATACAAAATGTATGGAATGCCATAATTGCAGTTTTAAGGATTTGGGGTCGAAATGTGTGAAAATGAGCCCCTGATCAATGTTTTTGACCCTATTTCATCCTAATTGTGATTAATGTGAGGGATTTTAGAAATTTGAGGAGAAAATGTGATCCCTAGAACAAAAGTGCTACTGTGTAAGTGGATAGTGCGGTAACCGAGTTCCCGAGGCACTTTGGGGTACATCATTCTCCATGCATTCATGCATGATTAACTATTAAATGGATAAACATATTGATATTGTAATTAAAAATGTGTTAGGTGGAACGGGTGAGATAATCGGTGCCAGAATAGATACGATAATACCGAAAGGATCCACCAATAGAACCGAAGGGTTGTAGATCTGTATTTTTGAGGTGGGTGTATATCTTTATATGTTTTGGAAATACTATTATAAGATAATAGTAAATGATACAATTTAATAACAATTCTCTAGGATTATGTGCTATGTGCTTATATGATAGAATGATGTTTTATACTGTGTTTTTGCACTATGTATTGTGTATTGTGGAATGTGGCGCACTATTTGAGACAGTGGTGTCGATGCCTAATCACTACGCGTGTAGTGGTGTGCTAGCACTATGATGTTCCCAGGAGGTTCGGGAGACATGGATCCATGTGGGATCGATTACACGATCAGGGGTAATATAGATATAATGTGGCTTGTGAATTCGTTGAAAGTGGATTGATGTTGTTGTTTGATACATATATCTACACAGTATCTACCTACTTCAGTGTATTACTATCATTTTCATTTCGTATACAGCATGTATACTCATTGAGCGCATGGTTTAGCTCACACCCCTATAGTTTCTCCTTTTCAGGTACTATAGAGGAAGACACAGACCAGTCCAATATCCAGTTGATTGAGTCTTATACAACGTTAGTCTGATATCACTCAGGTTGAGTGTCGGTATGACTAATTGCTGGGTTGTATCTTATATTTGTGAGAGATTATTATGCTAGGCTATTAGTGTATAATTGTAAACAGACTCAACAAGCATACTTTGTGATATATGTTATGTGGGTGTGGGATTTTGTATATGTATATAACCTGGGTAACAAATAATTGGTACATGTGTTTTACATATGGTACAGGTTATGAGACAGGTTTTATCATCATGCTTAATGACTAAAGTGATAGGTGGTGTTGTTGCACCTGTGAGATTATTTAATGTTTAATTAGTCCAGATTATAATAATTGTAAACAGGTGTATCAAAAACCTAGTCGCGTCTCATCCTTGGGAAACCAGGATGGGGCGTGAGAATATTCTTCCACACAAACCTTTTAGTGTATGTGTCCCTGATATGAGTCAATGGCTCAACTTTGACCCACTTCGTAAAGAAATCGGTCCTAACTATCAGGAACTTCTTATCTCTAGGAGCCCTCAGGAGGGGTCCAACCAAGTCGAGTCTCCATTGGGCGAACAGCCAAGGACTGGTTAGTGGGTGCAAATCTCCTGCTGGCTGTCTAATAGTGGAAATGAACCTTTAACATCAGTCATATTTTTGGACGTAAGCTCGCGCATCTCTTTGCATCCGCAGCCACCAATATCCTTGTGACATCATATAATTGGCCATTGATCGTCCACCCGAGTGTCCTCCACATATGCCTTCATAAACTTCGTACAGGAGGGGCTCAATTTTGTCCTCGCAAACACAAAGCAGATAAGGACTTGAGAACAATTTTTGGAACAGCTTTTGATATGAGAAGGCCCAAAACCTCGAGGCCCTAAACGTTATCTTCCTGGCCTCCTTGGGACACTCGGGAAGTTTCTTGGAGACAAGGAACTTGAGCAGTGGATCAATCCAGCTAGGGGACTCCTCCCTCTCCAGGATGGCTACCACTCCGGGGATGTTGTCTATGCCAAAGTTGGGAAGGAACTCCACAGTAATCCTTCATGTCATGTCGGATTCCAACGCCGATGCCAGGCATGCTAAAGTGTCGATGTGGGCATTCTTGTCTCGAAGGACTTGCTTGACTTCCACCTTCTTGAACTTGTGGAGCAGGGTCATTGCCTTGTGGTGATAGTCTCTCATCCTTGGATCCCTTACTTCAAATTCTTAGTTGAAGGACCGTAAGCTCTGTAGCCCTTGCAACATCGGCTAGTTTTAGTCTAGAGATGAGGGCTTCATACTCTGCCTCATTGTTGGATGCATTGAATCCCAACTGCACAGCCTACTCCTTGACCAGTCCCTCTAGGGAGCCAATAATACCCCTATTTCAGACCCTTTGTTGTTGGAAGATCCGTCCATGTAGAGTATTCAGGAGTGCACCTGGTCGTATGTGGAGGGCTCCTCTTCGGGAAAAGG